ACCAAAGCTAGTGCATCCACCCAGATTCCGTACAGTAAGGGCACTCAGATGGTATTGTAGTGTATAATCCCGTTTATGTGCAGCAAATGCTGACGTACTCCATGTGCTTAGTTCAGGAGCTTCATGGACCGTATGCGCGCACTGCCTGCTCCCCCGGTCACAGTTGATCTCTCCACCATCTTACCGGTCAAGCTGCCGGTCAGTAACTTTTTCGTGATATTCGTTGTAGTTCACGCTGGATATCACCATGCTAGCCGGGGTCCCGCCGCGTGTCCGATTGTTTCCATGAGGGCATAAGCAAGTTTCCTAGGTTGACGGTGAATGATGCCTGCATGTGGCTACCCGACTCGCAGCATGCATTGCGTGTTGTCCCGGGGTTTGGGTATGATTCCAGACCACGCTGCAGGAAATGGACGCCATACGTACCCCGATCTGCGACGTATATACCAAAAGGAACGTTCGAGCTCTTTCATACTCATGACGATGACCTCTATTACGTCGGCACGTATAAGACGGTGGAGGGCCCGCGTGATATACACTTGAAAGTGATTGACACGCGGCTTCTCGCGGTGAGCATCACAACACGACCGTATCACTTCTACGTCACTCATAATATCGAATCGTATATGGAAGCAATTGGACGGGACAGTGGTGGTCGATGACTTAGAAGAGGCGCTCACGTGGCAAACGGCACCCAAAGCGCCCCCAACCAACGCGGTAGCAAGGACAATACCCGAGATGTACGAGATGGGCATCTTAAGGGTGCAGGTCATCGGTCTCCAGTGTGTCGGGTTTAACCATCGCCTGCATGAGGAGCTGCACCCAAAAAGGATGCCTTCTGACGACACTTCGCGGAAATCCGACACTGACGTTCAGCGCCGACGGGGCTCCTCAGCCAAACGGCGCAGCGTGAGTTGGCTGGATGCCCTCTCATCTGATGATAGTATAGTACTATCAGATGGGGAACCACCGAGTAAAAGGCAGCGCAGTCATACAGGAGCTGAGATGTCGGACCGTGACCCTTCGTCCTCGACTCTTTACCCAGGTTCGTATCACACTGATCGCACGTCTACGTTACATGTCTAACTGACGATATCCCCCTCAGATCACTCGGTAGGCGGGCCTGCGTACGATTTGTGTCCTTTCTCCATTCTTACGTGAGGCTTTCCTCCAGGATCCCGTAACACCGTCATAAGTACCATCCGGTGGCGCAGCGGACGTACGTCGCTGGCACATCGGAACGTAGAGGGCGATGGACAGACCTGTTGTATCTCGTCGCTGTGTAACGCAAGTATGGATATGAACGCCGACCTCATGTCTCGGACCAGCAGTGTCGGGTCATGATAGTGAAACCATCGCGCTGCTGCAAAGGTTGCCAGTTTCTGGGATACCTCGGGGATTACCTAACTCACTAAAAAGCACGTTCTTCATCGCACTACTGACAGCATCATGCATGCCGGTAATCAGATCGGTGAGAGGAACGTGCACTAGTACGCTCATATCACGCTGATATGCTCGCCAGCGTCTCTGCAACAAGACTCATCGCAGCAGGAGAACGCGGCCTGATGTCACAATCGTACGCCTCAGGATAGCTGTCGGACAGTGACGCGGCGTGAGCCCAATATACTCTCGTGAGCATTGTCCGTAGACGGACTGACCTGATCAAGGAAGAGAAGAACCTCGCTTCTGGCGTAATGACGTTGCCCTCAGCATCCCGGGCTTTGTCGATGTTCAGCGTCGCCGCGACGCCGGCTATCGCCAGAAAGACGGATGCGTCCCCGAATAGGCGTCCGGGGCAGAGCCTGAATGTCAGGGCTGAGACGTGGAGGAAGGCTTTCGGACAGAGCAAAGCACGGACCGTCGACCATGCCCGAAGACGATGTTGCGAGGATCTTCGAGTTCCCCGTCTGAGCTTGTCGCATCGAGGAAGCGTTCCGGACGGAACGTGGCAGGGGCGTCGTATGTCCTCTCGTCGTGTGTCATTGACCTGTTGGACGTCGGTGAGCTTTGCATAGAGCCTTTTTTTTGTATGATCACACGGTACCACAGGTGGTTATGACCGTGGAGTCCCCAGGCACATGGTAGCCCTCATACTCGTCATCCTCCGTCAGATAGTGAGGTATGCCTGTGAAGATTTGCAAACGTTAGCGACTGCCGGTTGCTCACAACAGAACGTATGTGACCCAGTGGGACAGGTGGATTCCAGCTGCCCACCATAGATGTGAGACTCGATCCTCGTCTTGCACGGCTGCAGGTAGTACTCACCGATACGTCTCCTTCAGGATGCAATCGAGATATGGCAGGTTCGGTCTGTCCTCAAGAGTGGGTAGTCGGCTGTTCCCGACGACGCGGTCGACTTCCGCTTGGGCCTTATGGTACACCTCCGGGTAGAGGACCATCGCCAGGAAGAATGTCCGGAGCACCGTCTTCGTCTATTCGTCACACCCTAGTGTTTCAGTATCGACCATTGCGCCATTGCCCGATAGCATACCGTATCCGTCCCAGCTGGCAGTAGCTACTGTTAAATTCACAGGTTTCGTAGAGCACTCAATTTGGGACGTACCAGAGTACAACACGCCCGCCGCGTACCGGATGTAGTCCTCGTCCTCGGCAAGCCGGCCCGCTTTCTCTGCTTTCTCGATCAATTCGGAAACGAACGAAGGCCGTGCACTTCCCGACGTCTAGTTGGACGGTGTCAACGATACAGTTCCATCTATGCTTTGCAAGTGTGGACCCACCACCGCTTTGCGGACCATATTGTATGGGAGATGATTAGCGCGCCATACGAGTTCCCTGGCGTACATTGCCTTGCGCTTGAAGTCTGCCCCAGGCATCCACGCCGGGACGTACTTGACTATAACAGATCAGCGGTCAGCGGTCAATATCTCATCAAGGCTTCGCAGTCAGCACAATTGAAGACTAACGAAGTGGAAAGATGTCCGCTATCCCGCTTCCTGCCGGACCGGTCGCGTTGGTTGCGTCCATGGCATGGTCCATCAGCGTTACATACTCATCGTCCAAGGACGTGATTCGGTGCCCATACACAGACTCGAGGATGAGTGCCGCGGTGTACCTAGGTGCGAACGAAGGCACTCAGCGATCATGGTCCATCGGGAGCTCTGCACACCCCCGGCCTTCACACTACAGCTGTGACGTACCGCGTGATGTGCATCGTGAAGTCTGCGGGCGTGTGCATGAGGTTCGACAGGAAGGTGCAAATCTCCCGCAGCTGTAGGCTGTCGTACTTCCGTATCGCATCCTTCTCGCCGAACGCTGCCTGGATCCACCGGCGCTGCATACGCCGCCCCGCGGCTTGGTACGGCAGAAAAGCCGTGTTAGGATACCAGCCTATCCTGGGTTCGCCGGTCAGTGTCAATGCGAGCGATAAGGGGAGGGTGCGACGTACAGCTCGACCTGTGTGACAAGTCGAGGACGGCTCGAATAGATCGCGCCCCGCTTGTCCAGGAGGTCCCGCGCGATGCTGGGCGAGTTGATGATGAGCGTGCGGCACCCGAAGAAGTCGGCATAGACCAGATCGCCTGCGGGTGTAGCCAGCGTGAGATTGGTCGAATGTCGTCTAAGTACTGCGAAATCCACCGTATTCATCCGCCCACGACTTGAAGGTCTGCTCCTGGGAGCTTGAGGGCAACTGATGGGCGTTGCCTAAGACAGGAATACGCTTTGGACCGGGAGGGAGACGGCGCCGGGGATTGCTTAGACCGAGCAAGTAGACAAGGCCCATGACGCACACCAAAGGCATCATGATCCAGGCATAAGCTGAAGAAAACGAGTCCTGGAACATGGTTTCCAGCAAGACGAGATAGGTGAAAGGGGCTGTCCTTGATTCCCTTATAACACGGATGCTTTGCAGATCTCCAAATGCACCGACTGAACTTTGACTTGCGCGTCATTTGCACTGGGAAGATAGCAGCCACGTCACCACCTATACCAGAAGGATTCGCCATCCATGGGCGGTTCGAGCCCAATGCTGTATACGACGGCCTAGATAGGCCTCAGCGGTGCCAGTTACCGTGACCTATGCCTTGCGAGGCATCTGTTTGTTTCTTGGGACTGCACAAGCTCAAATCTCATTAAACTGTTACCGTCTTACGCCCACGAGCCCATCTCCTGGCAGGACCCATTTGGCTTGTGTGGTTGCTGGCTGTCTTGAATCGCATTCAGCCGCGAATCGGTAGAGGTAAGATGAAAACCAAAGCACATCATCACTCACACGGTTCAAAAATACGGACAGAGCCCGACAGAAATTTTCTGTAAGACGCCCTCCAACTTGTGGTCATAATTGTACAGCAGCTTTGACTCGTAACGCCGCAGTTCACCCGTAGCCAGCGTCCCCACATGGCTTCTTGCAGCCAGAAGGCAAGTCAGCGTTAGCTGAGGGCCTTGACTCGAACAGAACACTAGTGTATTCGCCGCGCAATGTCGGCTTAGAAGCTCACATAGGAGTCCCTTGAAGCACTAGATAGAGCGCTAGCGGCCAGTCAGTACCCCAGCAGGAGGTCTGAGAGAACAAACATACCAATACTGGCCAATGGAACATTCCATTGACCGCGCTTGCTCTTTGATACCGACGTAACAAGGTATCGGTGTGCCAATGACTCGGATCGCATAGGCACTAGTTACTGGAAGTGATCGTGGCAAGCTGTACCTAGCATTAGCCAGCGAGTGAGTATACACGGTTCATGCGACGGACATCTCTCGTACCGTCACTGCTCTCCAGCCAGTATGGAATCACATATATTTAACTCACTTCTCAGGGCCTAGTCACGGTAGAATTCAAGTTTCCAGTTGTAAGTAGGCCTGCAGGTAGACCTACGCCTTTGTGAATCCTGTAGCAAACGCCGTTGCCAGTGAATGTTTGACTGGATACTTAAGACACTACACAGACTGCATAGTAGTACAGAACAAACGTGGGCCGCCGGGCGGGCCGTCACGGCGTTATTTACGCTGGCGTAGGCAAGCCACGCGGCCATACCAAATCCGGCAATGAACCTCAAGCCGGCGAGTACTGCTGATCTGTAAGTACGTTTGTACGTGCATGTGTCTAGGGTCTCCTCGTTGCTAACCATCTTCGAACGGATATTGGACGTCGCGCAATCGTAAAACTCTACTACTGTGTCTGTCCTTCATACAAATTGTCACGGCTACAGAAGCTTGCCACTGTCGTCATGTCCTTCAGCCCAGCCGCACCGAGACCCAGGCTACAGACGGAGTTCTACGAGTTCCTGGAACAAAAACTCTTGAATGTAGAGTCGCAGTTGAGTGCATCGGAGAAAGTGAGTCAGGCTCGATTGCCTTGACGCCGCGGTATCGACTTAGAGACGATGCTCCGATCAGGAAAGGGACGCGCTGGGAGTGGCGTTGACACAAGCCGAGAAGAAGCTCGAGGCTTCCAACGTTGTGTGTTACTTTCTACAGACTCTGAGCGCTGATAGTTCTAACTGCATTGATACCATATGCACAGGAACTCAATGAACTACGGACGAATGCCGCCGCTTCGATTGAGGCGCTATCGAACAAAGACGAGGTTGTACGTCCCACACTAGCGTCCCACGCTCTACATCGTTCAGCGCATGCAGCTTAATAATACATTGACAGGCACATTCCACGGCATTGCTTCGACAAGATGTAGGTTTCCTCTACCATTTATTCCTGTGCTGCTCAGTGTCATTCTCTATTGTAGCTTCAGCGAGTATCAGATCTGCTCGCGAGGGAACGAGCGCGCCGCGAAGAAGCAGTAAGTTTTGCGGTCTATCTGTCGCTTGTTGGGAATGCTAAGGGGTATCATGAGGAACGTGTCACCTCCGAGACGGAAGCAAAGGTGCTAACGTCACACGTGCGGCTTGGTATTTGGTCTAATTGTTGGTGCACAGGTCAAGACTCTTGTCGATAAACTTGCACAGTGCAACTCCGCAAACGAAGAGCTCAAGAAGAAATGTAGCCAGGAAAGCGCCACACAACTCACAAAGATCACAAGATTGGAGGCAACCACCAAGGACATGGAGAAAGAGGTAGAGTAGCAACCACCGGTGTGCTAGTCAGTTCATGCTTATCTACTGTATACAGAATACGAGATTACGAGAGGAGGTCGTGAACAAGGAGAAGATCTGCAGTCGTGCAGTTGCAGAGCGTGCCGAAGCTATTGCAGCTGAGACCGAATGTCGACGGCAGTCCAACTACGTGAAATCCGAGCTGGATGCTGTGAAGAAGGTCATCTTCTGTCGAACGCATCGTCTTCTCACACTAATCATATTTCAGGAGATATCGAGTCTGCGGACCGCGCTCAACTCGATCACAGCTAGTACATCCGACCAGCTTGACCTTCATAGCTCGGCAGTGAAGGTATTGCATCGGACGCTCTGATTGTAAATGATGATGGCTGACATACTGCCTACGCATAGTTGCGGGGCTTCGTGGATGATTTGCGTGCACTACCTGCTCCCGCTGTAGCAATTGATCTCGCGGCCCTTACGCCTGTTGAGATACCGGTCAGTTTGAAATCCTTACTGGACATTGTATGCATCAGACGATCATATGCACGCAGGCCTCTCAGCACGTATCTGAAATCTTGTCTGGCCTACGACGGAGAGGCGTGCTCACGGGCTTCGAAATGACGCTCAGTGACAACTTGTTGTGGCTCCCCAACTCAAATCATGCGATGTACGTTGTCCCTATGTATGACTACGTTTCGAGCGTCCACAGCACAAAGTGGTGGAGGTACACCAGATGTATCAAGTCAAAGGAGACACGTGAAATCTTCCATACCTCTCATGGAAAGCTCTATTACGTCGGCACATACCAAAGGGTGGAGCTCGGTTTGGATAATATCCAGCTGGAAGCCATTGATATCAAACTCTTCCAGGTGAGCAAGGCAGCCCTCGGCATTGATACACACTCAATAACTTGTCACACTCTCATGATGTTTGCAGCGACTTAAGAATTCAGTGGCCCAGCTTGATTTGAAAGCGGCGCTGGCGAAGCGTACAACAGAGAGGGCGCACGCGTCTAATGCGTTGACCGAAGGCGTACCTGGAATGTATCAATGGGGCATCTTGAAAGCGAAAGTTATTGGTCTCCAGTGTATCGGATTCAACCGTCGCCTTAACGACAAGCTGCATCCGAGCAAATCGCCTTCCAACGACGCCTCGCCAGACGGCCGAACCGACAACATGCCACCGTCATCTCTCAAACGGCGTGAATGTCCTCTAGCAGTATGTGGTTCAGACGAGGAACCGCCCAAGAAGGAAGCGAAGATATCTAGATAGGTGTTGGGACATAGCGAAGCTTACCACGGTACTACAACACAAGTTCGTACTAGTCCATGTTACCATTTCATGATGAGTTGACGGTACTTACCTACAATTGATGCCCTTCGTGCACCCTCACGCCATGCAGTATACCAAATCGCCACCATTTTCGGCGACGCGGCGGCGGAGGGTAATGAACAGATCTTTGATATGTTGTTACTGCACCCACGGGTATGCACGCCAATCTCATGCTTGCGAGTAACAGAAACGTTGGGTACAGTCGACACTGAACCTATGACACCGCTATAGAGCTGACGAGCGTTGTCAATTGCTTAGCGAGTGTATCTCCAAGCATATGATGCCCGTAAATTGTCGGATGTAGTCCGTCCATGGTGTGCTCCCTCCTGAGGTCGCCTCCGATGTCCCATTCGTGGAATTCGACACCTTGCCCGGCATTGGACCTCAACGAAGCCAAAGCTGACGACAGGTCTCGTGTGACAGAGACCTGTTCGGCGCTTTCTGTCGTTTCAGGATCCGAGTCTGCAGTAAAATCGGGGAAGGGATGCTAAAGAGGGTCATGAGCGAACCACGGAGCGTAGCAATGAAGGGAACCTTACGAGGACACATATTTGCTTGGCCGATGCGCGATACACCTGCAACAGACGGCCGACGAAAGCATGCATGGTTGAGGCGAATTGATGGGGGACACGTCTTGCGCGTCATCGTTCGTACCTGAGATAGAACTAATTCAGCCTCGACACCCAGCGCGAGGCCTCATAGGCGTGATGCGCACCTAGGGCGATCACTATGATTGAGGGCTGTTCGTCTAGTGCTGCAGGCCCGTCCGACCATTGGGACGCCTTTCATATAGCGACAGTCAATCAATACAACGGGATCCGCGTGCATCCAACAAGCTACGCACATGAAGAACGGTCTATCATACCCTGCCCGGCGCCCTCGTCCGCTTCCTCTGGCGTAGGCGCTACGAGCGTCACACCGGGGAAGGCTACGAGTTCGAGCTCGAGCTCATACCCGTTCTCGCGTGGAGCTGTGCCTTCGCGATGTGTGGGTACGCGCTGAGACAGCCCAGAGGAATTGGCTGTGAGCCATCTGAGTAGCCTGCCGTGATCGAGTCCCCGATGGCGAGTACTCTGACTGAGCGAGGGTCATCGGGAAAAGCCTGGACGCTGTCTTCCTTATGGCAAGTGTAAGCAGCACATTACCATAGTAGTTGGAGACCGCCTACATTATCCACGACGACACTCTCCAGTTCGAACACGGATGCCCAATCCACCAGAGTGAGGGTAATCTTGACAGGACGGTCGCGCTGTCGGAGTGTCTTCGTCTACCAGAACAACCTCCTGTGATGGCCGCAATCGTACGTCTTCACCTGATTCTCGTTTGTGCTCGAATCGCACCACCTTCCGAACGTGCGCTGACTGAACAAGCTATCATCGGAGTTCCGCCATTAAACGAGTCCTTGCGCTCTGTACGCGAGCCTGTCCGTATGCTGAGGTAGCTCCCAGAGAAGCAGAAGGAAATGCTGGCGCCACACAAGAGGCGGCGAGTGAATCCGCATATGTGGAGGCCATAGTCCATCGGCCAAGGCGACGGAACTTGTTGGAGGTGGGTTTCAGAGCTACCCTTGGGCGTTGGACGAGCTGTCCGGCATGCCCTCTCTGCATATTCAAGAGTCAGAACGTGGCTTTGTATCTGATCGAGGGTACCATGAACGCAGACGAGGAACTCGGACGCGGTCGCGAAACGGCTCGGGGCGTACTCAGGCTATGACTCAGATGCGATCATGAGTGTGGCAACGAGGCCGACGTTACATACGCGTCAGGAATATAAAGCATATGCGTCTTCAGTGGATACGACTCTGGCAACATCTAGGAGGTGCGAATACTCAAGTACTCACGAAGAACAGTCGTGTCGAAAGCGTTCATTGTCAAGCCGAGTTCAAGCGGCTGTCTACAAATTACACGTGGTGGCTGCCACTAGATAGTGATCCTACGAGCGCTTCTGAATTACACCGAATGTCTTCACTTCTCCAGTGAGTCAGGCTGAAGCATGGCGCAGTGCGTAAAGGGACCAGAACGCTGCCACCTCGAAGTGGAATATTTACTGATGGTGTAAAGTCTCAGGATCTCAACAAATACGCATGGACCGTAAACGTGAGGCTGACAGCCTCGGAGTGAGACGAATCTCATAAGGAAGTTCCTTCTTGGTTAATAATTAACTGTACAGAATAAGGGGTACTCAGGAGACAGTGTAGTGATATTTGAGATGCAATCTAACAATGATAGTGGAAAGGATTGGATATGAATCTGCAGACCTCGAATCAAGTTCGTATGAGACGAGATGCTACGAGAATCGAACTGGTATCAGGAACCGCGTCATAATCTGAGAATATGCTGACAACCGTTACGGTATAGAGCATGTGGATATCAACATCCACTGCAGCTGCGATGGGATGTGAATGGCGCCGGCATATTGATTATATCGCCAAACGTGTAGGCCTCTGAGCGTCGTCGGAAATCGGGATCATCAGCACAAGGCGCTTCTGTAGGGGGCAACGTACTGGGTACCCTCCGTAACACCTCTGATCGGGCATATAGTGAGCTCTGGTCAATGAAGGCGAAGCCTAGGGCTTACCTGCCATACCGTACGGGCGTGCACTGGCCGCGGTAGCCATGAGTGGGATGAGAGCGGCCAGTACAGCAACCAGCCGGATGAACTGCATCTCGTCGCGATGCGTGACGGAGGTCAGGAGGGATGAGACGGGTGAGACTCCGTCTGCAATATCCCAACTTATATACACAAAAAGGTTTTTTCAATTCATCCTCTACGGGTGTATAGTGTTGTCCTAGTAGGTATCTGTCAATGCGTAGATGTTCAAGGCGGACAGTCATCTATCACCGACGCATCAGCAGTAGCATTTGCTGTCGGAACACATAGCTGCTCTCGACGTCGACTGCCCAATTCCTGAAGAGTCGACAGCAGCGTTCAAGGAGAGAATCTTCCACATAGAAAGCGCGGTCTCGATGATGCACAACAATGGCGAAGGCTGCGCATGTGAGGAACCTATATGAGGACTCGATGAGCTCTGAGAGTGATCTGTCGTGCGACCCACGAAGCTCCATTCGAGACGCTCGACGTCTACGTCAGCTACGCAGCTGGTGATTGCGCTAGGCATAGAGATGTGGCGGCGTACGTGAGGATGGGAGGTTGATGTCGAGTTCACTGGCAAGCGAATGGCCAAACGGATGGGGTGTTGGGCCCCCTCGCGAAGTGTTATTTTGGTGAAGGATGACCGCGAAAGCCCGTACGACGGTGGACAAACGAAGTAGCACTGAGAACCTGGAGTGGGAGTCAAGAAAAGGAGGACTGATCTTTCGGATCATTTCGCTTCTACGATCGCACGAGCCATAGCTTCGACGCCGCAGCGTGAGTCCCGCGTCGGTCGTGTGTTCAACGTTCGACGCAACACTGAGCACCTGTCGCTGGCTGCGAATCCGTTTATCATATGTCAAATCGAAATTGACTTCTTGAGGATTCCGTACTCCAGTGATTGTCTTCCTGCACGAAATGGAGAGCTTCTCGTGCCGTAATTTACACATGGAATCTTGTGACTCACTGCATACACATAATTACGTCGAACTGCCGCCGACAGTGACGGAGATCAATGTGGATGGGCCGGGATGGCTCCGCGGGGAATGCTTCAATATTCATAGCCCTTCCCTTGCTTGAGGATCCGCAATGTGGTCTGGCAGGAGAGCAAGCATAACGCAGGAATTGAGGACCGCAAATATTCGGGGTAGCTTGGGATTTCGAGAGCAAGAGATTTCTGCGGTGTATACGAGCCCATACGACTGCGGACTCGCGGTTGGGTCACCGTCGGCTGTCGTCGGGTTGTCGGTCTGAAAGTGCGCGTTTAACATTGAATTAGATCCTGATCCCGATCGCGCGTCTACCCCACACATGCGGGTCTGTGGCGGGGATCTTCCGACCTATTTAACCACAGTTGTCGAACACCGGCCATTACCTCCCTCATTCTCGTCGCCCTGCATTACTGAGGATTGTCTGCTTGCGATTCAACATGCTTTCTCTACCGCGCGTATTTCTTCGTCGGCAGCCTGCTGGATTGCACAGACTGAAGTCTAGTGTATCAGGCTCAACACGCTTGCAGTCGAGTATGTCCTGTAATGCTCAGAGTTACCGTGCCCAGCTGATTGAGGTGTCTACATGCGTTAAGCATTTGCGAAGTACGACCAGGAGGTATGTTGAGGGCTGCTTCTCCAGCGGCGCAGGCTCTCACATGAAACACAGGACCCCCTGAATTTGGAGAGCCTATTGACGGAGGAAGAAATCGCTGTCCGGTATGTCTCAGCTTTCCTTCATTCAGTCTAGGATTCGAATCTTTGAGCTAGGGATACCGCACGAGCCTTCTGTCAGGCACGTTCCTAGCCTTCCCCTTTTCATCGCTCTAGTGACGAACCGCCCAGTAGGAGAACCTTATGCCGAAGGTCCTCCACGCACTACGTACAGAAGGTAGGCATATCATTCAAAGTATTCTAGCTCGCACGACTTAATAGCGCCTCTCGATAGAGTTCAATCATGACGTCCTACCAGCCATGGGCGCGCTTGGGTTCCTCGGTCCGACGATCCAAGGGTATGGCTGCGCCGGTGTGAGTAGCGTAGCATATGGCCTCATCGCGCGCGAAGTCGAACGGTAGGTGCTCTGGGCTACCACCATCCTAGCATTGTTGTTGATCTGCCTTGCCTTACGCAGTGTGGATTCCGGCTACCGGTCGACCATGTCTGTCCAGTCGTCGCTGGTGAT